GGGAACTCAGTGGTCCCGTGTCGTCCTTGAGAACTTTAACTTAACATTGCTTAAATATGTATACTCACTCTTTCGATGTTAAACTCAAAGAGAAAAATTTTGTAAACTTTGATAAACAAAACAAAATTATTATTGTTCAGAAATGATTTTTTTTAAAATTTCATTCTACATGTACATGTATGTTATTCTTTAAAACAGCATAACTACTTATAATATACGTGCACATTATTAGTTTATTATGAGCATAAAGTCATTTAAAGTTAGCTAGAAGTCTAAAAAAATATATATCAATCAAAACTAAGAGATTTTAATACAATTTTCTATCATTCAAGAATTGATATATACATCCCAAATATGTTTGATAATATTACCGTAAAATAATAAGGACTTTGAGCTAAGTTTAAAACATGTAAAAATTAACCACATTCCCTATTTAATCTCTTTTAAACATACTTCTAGAAATTATCTAATTTAATTAAGTAAAAGTATAAAAATTAACTTTGAGATTTGCATTGAATAAAAGATTAAACTTACCCATTATCTGAAACCCTCTTTTTCAAGTGCAAGAACTGGATTCAAGATTCACCAGGATACGAAAGCAATTTCCCAGGAAACGAAACTCTTGAAACTTTTGAGTTGACGACAAGGAAACTCGACAAATTCACAACTGTTACACTTTTCTCTGAATAGCAAAAAAAAAAAATGTTTTTTTTTTATTTCTTTCTTTCTAAATCGTTTATTAAACGTACCCCCCAAAAAAACTGACCGAAAAAACTTTTTGAAGCCGGTTCCTAAATAAGTGTAACTTTTCCCCCTTAAATCTTGACTCGATGGCCATTAAATGAATGTAAAACAAAGTGAAATTTTTAGCCTTATAACTGAAATATCAACGGCCTCTGTAAAAATAAATTTTAAAAATTCTACTTGAGCATGTAGTTGTGATTTGACAAGTGTGGCAATGTCGTGTACACGGAGGCTTTGAACACCTGGACCAAATAAGACCTAACTTTGACAAGGTACTTCAACTGACAGAAGGAGGCAGATATCGGAGGTCCTTGAAAAAAAATACAAGTTCTATTTCGCCCATAATAATATACATACATTGTGAAATTATTTTCGGGGGTCAAAGACTGTATTCAAACTTTGAAGGTATCCCCTTCACCTGAACTTTTGGTACTTCGAATGCATGTGCTGATAAAGAGTAAACTTTTACTACATGTATAGATGTAGTAATTGTTTTGTATCCAATTTCATGAATTTCCTATCAACTTGCTAATTAAGAATATATATGTGCCATAAATAGCATTTGTGCAATTGAACAGAAGGAGAAGACCTGAGACAAAACTCCCCCCTTTTTTTCCGCCAGAGACAAGTAGCCTCCTCTCTTTATGACGGAGGACTACGTGCCCCATGTGCTATACCGCTATGACCGCGAGGGGTCTCCAAGGCTTCGTTAATCCTCAAGAAGCCGCAGCGACCAAAGCGCTCTAGAAATATAATCCGGATTTTCTCGCGCTAGAGTGTTAGGACACGGCACCCTGTAGAAATCTTTTCGACGCTTCTTGTGAATTAAAAAAGCTTATGTCTGGAAATCTTTAGAATAGAAACAAGAAAAAATAGTTGTCGGTAAATTTTGACCACGAATTCGCTTTCTGATATGACATCAAAGATAAATTGTCTAAAATGCCGACTGATTTAACTCTGTACTAACGTGACTCGGGTAATGGTACTCAACAACCCTTTGCTTTCAAATGAGTAGAAAAGAACTCATGACTATGAAAATCTATAAGTATGCTAAGAAAACAAAATCTTGATGTTTGTATCTTCACTATAACGACCTTTAATCATATATGTGGGAGTTGAGAAGCTATACCTTGACATTTTTGTCTTCTTTCTTCAAGGAAATAAGTAACTTCTAGAATATGTATATATATACATATATATGTGACTATGATAAGGGTATTTATCGAGAATGACGCAGTTTTCGATATGATACAGGTGTCAAACCTATTTGTTCAAATTAAGTATTCTTTAGAAAATAAACTTTACGCAGAATCTCCCATGTTCTCAGTATTGTTTTAATGTACCTAGATGGGAGAACATGACATATGTAACGGTACGCATCGCCACACGTTAAACATTGCATCTATACCTCTGTAAGTGTTCGCCACAGGTTGCACATTGCGTCTGACGAAGGTTCGCCTTCGCCGAAGCTTGTACATTGCGGCATATTACATGGTTTGTGCGTTTGCCACGGCTTGCACATTGCCTACGCCAACGGTACGCGTTCGCCACAGCTTGCACATTGCGTCATATCACGAAGTTTCCAGTACGTAGTATCGTTCAGCGTTGAGCAAGTGTAGGCTGATTCTCTCAGCAGGATAAGAGGTATCGGCCATTCAATCTTGTTAAAGATATACTCCCAAACAAATTATGTAACCCATAAGGTAAAACATCTTAATTTGTCAAAAACTTGTGTCTGCCGGTATCTTCATTAAAGTGTCGCTCTGAATACATCAAGCGCAGTGGAAAACACGACAATAATAGCCTCTAAACGCGAATAAAGAAATGAAAAAGTAAAAATATGTTTATTGGAAGCTAATGATTACGATTCTAAACCTATTATCCATTGTTAGAAAATCCACGGACGAGTAGTAATGAGACTATTACGCGCTTTTGGGTCGCGTTTCGTCATTATGGGTTGGTCCTCACTGTTAAGGATGTTGGTCAAGCAGGCCTGGCTATTTAGGGACCCGTTGCATGCTGAGATCTGAAGATCAGTATCATAGAAAAAGGTCATATTGCAAGTACATGGTTATATATGAAATTGGGGGATCGACCAAGAGTAGGGAGTAGCGGAAATCCTGTCTTGTTTTGTTCCAGTTTTCACGCACTTGCCCTACTAGATACCCACAAAACCTTCACTTTCTTGTTCGTCTGGAAATAATTAAAACGCCAGAGTTGATACATTGTACCCTAAATGACACCAAAATTAGCGTGACAACATTTCGGCCAATGTTCATTAAGTTCTTGAAAATTGAGGGCAGAAATTATTTGGCCTTTCTGTTGGACGAAAAAGAAGATACAACCGTTCTCGTCCTGTTTAAAATTTCTAGAATCAATTAAACACCACCCGGAACCGCGCATCGTTAGCATACACCACAAATCGTATCCTTGTGCACGCGCTCGGTCATCAAAGAAACCGTGAAAACGACGTCACCGTCGTGTGGTACAAAGAGGAGTCGCGCGCTAAAGCTACAAAAGATGAAAGGCTACGCGTGTTGCGTGCTTTACATCGACAGACAATCTAATTCATTCAGTGCTGTTTTTATCCATCAAATAACGGTATTTTCCAATAAGATATTTTCTCTTGTCACCTAATATTGTGATATTCTCGTCCAAGATCTAATGGAATGGAAAACAACAGAAAAACACCTCGTGAAAATGTGTTAAAACTAATCAGAGTACAAAAGCACCGTCGGTCAGCTTCAACGCTAATCAGTGCCATTATCAAATATTATGCGAAAATGATTAACTTCAATGGCAGCGAAGTGACAGAAGATGCATTCTGTTGTAGTAATCTGCCCATCTACCGCAAAGAAGCCTATCTTTGTAGATAACAGGACTAAAGAAACCTTTTCCCATCGCAGAGAGAGAGAGAGAGAGATGTGCAATCGATCACAGGTACAGAGGTGACCAATCAGTTTATGCTTGCGGCTTTTTAAGTCTTGTGCGTCTTTACACATTTCAATAAAGAGAAAACGTAGAAATAGCGTACATACCGGCAATAACAAAGCGTTGCTAATTAATTACTTTGTAAACTGATTAAGTCTCCTTACCGAAGTCACTGCAGGTGCTTCGGTTCCGCTGTCTTCTGACGGACTTGTCTTTCATTTCTATTGATAGTTATTACGATTAATATTGGCGGAGGGTTTGATTGCATTTTATCAGACGGAAACGTCTCTAAACTGCTTGACCGCTTGGTTAGAACAGCAGAAAAGAAACAGATGGTCCCTATGCGTAAACTGTCTTGCAGCAATTTGCAGGTTTCCAAAATCATCATGTACATGGTATTTGTGACATTGTCAAACAAAACTTAATTTATACTAAAACATGTCATTGATTCGGGGAAAAAAACCATAGCATAGAATATGTGCTCGTCGCCAATTGAAATTCCATTAAAATAAGTATTTAAACATTTTTATCTGTATCGTAACAAGACCTTCATTGTTCTGTATTCATTATAAGACATCCACTCGGTTGCTCGGTATAATACCTCACACATCTTGCCCTCTACAGCAACAAATGGAAACAATTTACCCCTCGGCAAACTGGACATCAAAAGACCAATTCCTTTTAAACACGGCTACTTGTGCAGACTAGAGTACAGTGTTTTTGAGACATCAATCAATACAAGGGGGTACATGTGTGGTCCAGTGATCGTGAGGGCGAGCGATGCACACCCGGAATGCTTGCAAACTCACTCCATTTGACAGATTGTATGTATCCGTTCTTAACCCGTACTGCTTTGCTCATCCGCAAAAGAAAGCAGACCCATTTCCCTAGAGTTCCTATAGGTTTATTTATTCTGCATTTTAATAACTTTACAAAAACCTGTCAAACATTGATGACTCCGCTCAGGAGAGCCAACAGTGGCAAGGCAATCTAAAAACGATGTCTTTGTATGCTTTACCAACGTGGATAGGGAAAAACTGCTGGAGAAAAATTAAAAAATTAATAATTTTGCCAGAAAAATCACATTCTGTCCTCTCCAGCTGTCAAAGTAAGCACCAAAGGTTACTGAGGACAAAATGGGTACAAAAAACCTCAACAGTTTAAATGACAACTTTTAAAATACTTTTTCTACTGTTTATAAACTTTCTTCAAGACATGTGTCATAAAGGGAAACATACTGATGACCTGCTTAATGCTATTATAAAAATATATTTTATTCAGCAGGCAAACGAACCAAATCCCCCAAGATATAATAAACACAAATGTTTTGTTTTGCTGCATTTATTTCAGTACATAAATTGATGACTTAATGGAACAGAATACATGTATTTGGTACATAGCAACAAAGAAAGCACCACAAGAACAATTATAAGTTTATCCCGGTGTATAAACGTGTATGGGACCAAAAACACATCGACAGCATTTGGTTAACATGCAATGATAAAATATGATAGAATGTCAGTTTGGTTCATAAAATCAACTCAGTTTCCATATATAGTTGGGACAATATCAGGAGACCAAAATGTTTTTTGAGCATAAAAATATGGAAAAGTACCCTCTTGAACTGAATATCATTGCTTTTCACTTACCCAAAATATTAGTTTAACTATTCATTTATTATTGTTGTGTGTATGTTGGGGGGGGGGGGGGTGTGTGTTCTTATTACTACTTCTTACAGTTTTAATCGATATATAAATTTATATAATGCCCCTAACATTTTATTTTGATTGTCTCAAGAGTATACTTATATATACCCCTCCGGTAGTCTTTCTCTCCAAGGCCACTGATTCTATCAATGTCCAATTATAAATTAAATATTTTATTGAAATGTGATGTTTGCAGTGCTTTCCATGAAAGCAATGCTATAAATGCTAAAATTTGTTATATTCATATTGCAAAACATCATCAGGTTGTACAAGGAGTGGTGGACAAAAAATTTCCCTCAAGACTTGTTAATTAATTTAACAGGTACTGGACAAACCATGATCAAGTACTATATATACTCATACATTTCAAAATGTCAAGCAATACAGTCTTCACAAAAAACTGATATATTTCAAAATACTTCCTTGGAATATGTGATCAAATGAAGTTTAGGATCTGATAGCACATTCCTCAAATATTTCTTTGTAATTTACCCAAAAAAATTAGAATTATAATTATCTTGTGATATCTAAACTGTTTTAAAAGTGTCTTTAAAGATATAAACACCACATATTGTTATAAATGTAACAGTAATTCAAGTGATATCCAGTAAGATTATATAGGAAATACCATCCTACATGTTATCGTGCACAAATGCCTGGCAAAGTACCTGTACCTCAAGTTTTTTGTGAGGAAACTTGTTTTAGGTAGCAGTACTTCAATCACAAATTCTTGGGAAAAATTATGTTACTGAGGAACATGTTATCTGACCTTAAATTGAAACATTTATACATTGTATACTTTTAAAATTTGTGTACCTATGTTTATGAATATCATGCGTACTATTAAAATTCCAATAACTCAGCCATACAGCAATTCCAAAAATATAGCATGACGTACAACATTTGTTTAGTCACAATATCAGAAAAGAAATTATACAGATCTATACATAACACTATGTTACATCTGTACTTTGCTATAATGTCACAAAACAATATTGCAATATGAACACACAATATTAAAGTACTGGCCAAAACTCCTTTACTTTGGAAGCTAAAGTATAAGGCAAAGTTTGGGACATGATTGACAAGAGTTATAATTGTGTGAGTACAAAAAAGGGCCCCACATGCTGTTCACCAGTATGGAATCATCTGTATGTCTCTTTTGACCATGATGACCGTTACTTGGATTGGTTGCCTTTTAAACTGGTATCCCTTGCTCTCGGGATAGTGATAGCATACACACCAGCAGCTGGTGTGTGTTTATATATAGGTCTATAAAGCAGTCTACATCACTGTATGCAACACTCCTTTTTGTCATGTAGAATTTTACCCTCTGTTATTCTTCTATCCAGATTTTCATCATCTTCAATGCTGTAAAAAAATCAAATTCCTTCCATTGATAACAGTATTTGAAAAAATATAATTGTGACTATGTTACAAGAAGTTGAATACTGAAACCTTGAGGAATGGGTGAAAGCATAGAACATTCATTAAACACCTTTTAATTAAAAAACATAAATGTGACAGCTAATTACACAAAATCACTGTAAACACAATGCTGATAATGGGAAAACTCCACTCCATCATCCACTTCATTTCAGGCCATTACTTACACTTTGTCTGACCAAAGTCAAGCAAACACACAAGGGACCCAGACTGAGTGAATAATGTGTGCATAAATGGAGTCATTAGAGGCTGTATGGAGTTTCAAATTCACCAGAGATTATAAGCATACCTGCACCATTAAGTATGAAACAATGTTTCTTAGAAAACATTGTCACCGTAAAACATAATACAAATGTTCATGGCAAAAAATTCTGTAATTGCTAATCATGAAAAAAAAAAATCGCTTTGCTTTAGAATCTGTAAACACGGGAGAAATATTTCCTGTCTTATAATAACAGATTTGAATGTTTTTAAAATGTTTTACAAATATAAGAACTAAATAGCAGGCCATGTTCTGATTGTCTCTTAATATGCTGAGAAACACATGTATTTTTTGACATGAAGTACTTTTTGAACATTTTTGAATGTTGTAAAAAGAAAAAAAGCACAAGAAAATTAATGTAATGAACATGAAAAATATTATCATAGTAAAAAACAAATTCATAGTTCAAAAAACAACTGCCACATATTTATTCCATAGATATGCCAAACCTATAGACATATTTCTAGAAACAATTCATGAACAAGTACAAGTAATCGGTGAGAATATTTGGTAAGTATGTAGACATCTGGACTTGTGACACTGTCAATGACAATACATAAGAAGGAAATTCATGTTCTCAAACAGTAATGACATGCATGTGTTTTGAGAATTTGGAAGCGTAATAAGATTAGAGTACAATTAAAGACTCTTAGAGCGCCGGCCACAGATTACCAAGACAAATCCCCTGAAATGGGACAAAAGAAACACTGACATTTATTTCTGGAGAAGAAGGTCCAAGTTCTTAAATTTCCATTTTGAAGAATGATTCACCAATAAAATATTTACACTGGAAATAATAGCGGGATAACATCTTCATAATAACCATTTCAGTGATAATATGATCAGCTGATGATCACTTTTTGTTCGATGTTGAAAACTACAGATAATAAAAGTCTTGGAGACATTTTTCCCTTTCAATCTTAAAATAAATCAAAGTAAAAAATTTTTTGGTAATACCAGTAATTAATAAATACGAAAAATTCTGAAAAAAGGATAATAAAATGTACTAATAAATATTTTTTGATGATTTAAAAAAAGGCATTTTTGATAGCTTGTTCTTCCAATTTAAGTACCGGTAATCAATCTTTAATTATTCCATAAGCCTACAAGATATTTTGAATAAAACTTAAAAATGAAAAAAAAAAAAAAAAAAAAAGAAAAAATAAATAAAATAAAAATTTTGATAACTGAACAATAAATTTTGTAAATTAATTCAATCTATTTTCAAGGAATTTTTATAATGCTTTTTTGTTTTTTCATTTTCTTTCTTCTTCATTTTTTAAAAAAAAAATTAATTTAAACATATTTCTAATAAAGTCTTCAAAATAATGTACAAGTTATTTTTGGAAATATTATCTGACCAGACTGAAAACTAATTAATATAGTTGATTGATATTCCTTATTAAAGGGGTGGATAAGGAGCATATAGAGGGAGTCCTGGTAGTGATTAGCCTCACATGTTAATAAGAGCACTGCAGCAGTGTGCACTAAGCAGGTACTCTGTCAGAATGAGACTCTGGCAGGAATCGGCTCGAGTCAAACTCGGAAACAGAACAAAGCCGGAATGAGCATGTTTAACATTCTACCCAATAATTTAAATCTTTATAACCTATTATTTAAGTATTGAGCATGACTTGGTCTGGAACTATAATGACAATGACAATTCCCTTGAAATAGATGGATGATCTTGGCTGCCTCAATTAGCAATTGATCTTCAACGAGCCTTTGTTTCACCTTTTGAAAATGATATTTAATAATGTTACACAGGGAGTTGAGGCATCTTTTTTTGCATTTGACTGGAGATAGCATGAAGATCAGGAACAGAACACTGATAGATCTTACCCAGGACATGAGAGAGAGATTAAGAATAACAGATAATGCTAATTTGTGATAACGCAAATAAAAGTTTGAAAAAAGCAAGTCACCCAGAAAACACATAATCTCTATAAAACAATATTTGGACATTCATAAAGGAAAAGAAATTATCTCTTATCAAAGTTATGGTAGAATGATCAAGTTAAATACAAACTTACCACAGTTATATATATATATATATATATATATATATATATATATATATATATATATATATGCATTCAAAATATGATAACACTTTTACAAACTTGTATCAAGTGATCAGTAATGTTTACAGATGTGAAACTAAATAAGGTCAAGAACCAAATTAATCTTCATTTATTCTGTATCAGAGATCATTTACTCTCTATCAGAGATTTCCACTAATGGTTAAAATAGCAAATTCATGGTTATAATTTACCAATTTAATGTATTAAAATTCATAAATGTCCACCTTTAACACAAATATTCAATGTCACAATTATTTCTCTGCATAATTTATAATGGGGAATTGTACTAAGGTTTTTTAGTGAGCATATCTGTTAAATATAAACCCTTCTCTCCCCTTTTCCCCTTCAACTCCTTTTTCGTTGAAGCCAGAATTTTTAACTTGTATGTTTGCTGATTTTATTTATAAAAAAAATGGTGATATTTTAGTTCATAATTTTAAATATTCAGAATTTTTCTTTTGAACATAAAAAATTAATTCGGTATAATTAAATTATAGGATATATACATATATCTAACTATATATACAGAATAAAGAAAACAGAAAATAAAAAGAAGAAAAGAAAAAAATAAACATTGATATAGTTGACGTACGCTCGTTCCTGTGAGTCAAGATGTTGCACCATCTCATCTCGCTTGTTGACGATCTCAACAAGCTCATCCAGTAAGAGTTTCTCTCGGTGCTTCTGAGCTTCAGTTTTCTGCCAGTCTGGAAAACAAAAAAAAATTCTTTTAATTAATTACCGAGAATAACTGCAGTTAGCAAAGCATTATGTAAGTTGGTAAAACGAGATTTTAATATTAATCCATATAGTTTCCCCGTTTGTAATTTCTAATCCTTCTTGTACTATTTATAGTGATTATTTGAAATTATAATCAACTGAAAGTGAAATGTTTCAACAGAAGTTTCCATATTATACTTCTATTAATTTTATTAACACTTTGTTTTGAAGTGTTTCGTTACGTACATTCAAGTTAAACCCAGAAGTAAATTTCTCCAGTTCATGCATTTTCTCTATTTCACCACTGATACTTAAGATTTTTATTTAATATATTAAACATGTAGGAAGGAAGAAATATGTTTAACATATCAATTTGATATATAATGACTTATTTTGCATTTGAGTCAGACATCTATTGTAAATAGTTTTTATCTGATATTCTGTACAGTAAAACAAACATCTATAGGCCTTAAACTCTAACCAAAAAAAAAAAAAAATAATAATAATATCCATTTTATAAAATATGGAAAAATCAAAATACAAAATAAAATTACATCTTGTTCAGAAAATTCATGTCCATATCAGTGAAATTCAACTTCATTTGAGAAAAAAGTATCAAGTTAATGGTATTTAATGGCACATCAGTCTTTCTAATTGTTGAAAATTGGCTTACTTTGAATTTTTAAATATTAAGCAAGCTATCTTGTTAAAATTATTGGTTGATGTTGTGAATGGGTCCATTGAGAAATTCTGATTGATTATGACGTACCATTTTATTTAAGTGGAAAAAAGGGAAGCGTTTTAATAAAAGATTTTGTAAGAATTCAAGGGATTAATTACAAAGAAATTACCCATAAGTCTACAAAGAAAAAACCCATAAGTCTGACTCATATAGAGGTGTAATATCAGCAGAAGGCAATTTTTTGTTTTAAAATACAAATGAAAATCAACGTACTTTAAAAAAAAATGGTATTTTAAAAAAATTATCTATAAAAAAAAAAATTACATGTATACCATTGGCTGAATTTGTAAGGAAAAAAAAACCCATGCAGATTAAATTCTTTTAAAGGCAGAAAATCTTTCTCTTTCTTAGAAGTGATACTGGTCAAATATTTGGAAGTGTCACTTCCTAAAGTACTTTACAACTGATAAAACAGCAAATAATAACCTATTTCATAGGTTTGACAATGAGTATAAAAACATGGCCAGTGAGTATAACATCCTTTAGATTCATGTGATGATCTTTAATGTGAGGTGTCAGAAAAAAAGTGAAGGAAGGATATTTTTGAAAAACATTTCTTTAAAAATGCACAAACAATGTAACATTTTAATAATAAAAAAAAAACATAAAAATTTTATTGAAAAAATTTAAATCATCTATAAGAAATACTATTGGCTGAATATGTAAAAATGAAAAAAAAAAATCTTGATGTTGTTAAAGGAAAAAAAAAGACTTGTCTCTTTCTTAGAAGTGATACTGGTCAAATATTTGCAATCTGTCTCACCTCTTTAAGTACCATACTACTGATAAAACAGAAAGATAACTTTGTTACTGGTTTGACAATCAGAGTAAAAACACGGCCTTGCATCCTTAAGTTTTCGTGTGATGACAAATAAGTCAAGTGTCAATAAATATCTACATGGTGTGAAAATAGTAACACCTGTGTCAATGACTCTGTGGGCTTATTACTGAAACATCACTTCCTCCAATGATAATAATTAAAACAAATGGATTCATAATCACTATCAAACCAATATGGATTCATAATCACTATCAAACCAATATAATATTCTCGAGAAAAATCCTTGTTCAAACTGAGAAAAATTAATGCTAACGTAAGAAATTTATTTTCTGAAGTTTGCATTACAATCTTGGTGAAATACACATTCTGCCTGTGTCATCAAACTGGAAACTACATGTAGGCCATTCTCCAGAAATATAATATCTGGGTATGTAGACTTCGTAACAAATTTAATATATGACTTAAAGATTTAAGACAATAAAATCATGGCTCATCAGAAATTCATAAAAAAGAGATATTTATTTCATTACTGTGATTGAAAATTAGTTGGGATGTTTTCTAATGAAATCATGCAGTTGATAATTTCAGAAGGAAAATAATTTTCCACCCGGTAAACAAATATCTGTATTAGCCAATTATGTTACAGGAGCAGTAATTGGTCGACAGCAGCGGCTGATGACATGAGTCAGGGAAATCCGTAAAGAACATACATACACACAATTCTAAATTAATGGTAAAGCCTCTTTACAGTTTTAGTCACTGTCGCCCGTCATTTAGAAATTCACTGCCTACAAGACGATCACAGCAAAGCAACAATTAATCAAGCTGACTTTGATGGCCATTTCATTTATCATCATTAAATAAAATCTTGTAAATTATGCAAATGTCAATTTTCTGCATCATGGCTTGTAATTCTGCATATAACATTGAGAGAGAGAGAGAGAGAGAGAGAGAGAGAGATGGGGTGCATTGCGGTTGGCTGGGTGGGTTGAGAGACTAAAGTTGATTTCAAAATTTGTCAACCTCTTATCATTAAAAACCCAGAAGCTGTATTGACTAATTCATATCTGTTGCCTCAAAGACAAATGTAACCCCATTTTTTTTTTTGGATAATTATTCTACTCTAATGAAATAAGTTTCTTAAAGTCACATAACAACTAAAAGCTTTTAGATTATGATATACTTCTGCATACATTAAATATCAAACAAATATATATGTATTATATTAGAAGGCAAGGTATGATCCACGTACATGTACATCCAATCTAAGTCCAGCAATCAATCTGACCTTTGTTAAATCCTATGGACGGTTAAGGAACAATATACATGTAGGTTTACTCAACAATAGAGCATGCAGTCAATGAAGATTAACAAAATGATAACTTGTGTTGTAATCTGATTATCAAATTGAATTGCTACAGTTTTCCACAAACCATTTCATTCAAGCTTTAAAATTTAGTCCCTTTTTTTTTTTTTTTTTTTTACATCTTCACAATATGGTGCAATTGATTTCACGCCATTTATCAGAATTCACGTTCGGGGACCAGAAGTTATTCTAACGGAAAATTGATGGGGTTTTAGCCCCAACAGTCAACATTTTATGGCCACATGTGTTGCCATTTTTCAGCTGAAGAATTCAAGACAATGAATTGTATACCCAAATACAGATTTCTTTAACATTTTATAAATTGAAAAAAAATCATTTACATGAATATCTGTTTATCTAATTTCCATTCCTACATTTCTATCCTTAAAATAATAAATTTAAACAAAATTAAAAAATGAATAAACAATCATCCCTGTATAGCTAAAAGTATATTTCATTTTAAAACAGAGAAAAATGAACTTTACTGCAACTACCCCCATTGAAAATAACTCAATAAGTTTAAGATCAAATATTAATTGTAATTAATGATTCAAAAATTTTTATCTACATTATATATATCTACTTAACATAATAATTAAAGATGAAAAAAAAAGAGAAATCTTACTGTAAAATTGATTCAACTATTTATTAATATAAGTAAATCATTGACATTATTATAAAAAAAATAAATCTGTAAGTTGAAAGACAGCTTTGATCTTTTCTCCTTTTTTTTGTTTAAAGAGAACTATCCATGAAAAATATCTCACATTTAATGTACTTATTTCCCCCCCATTTTTAGTACATCTGTGGGTTGTGGACTAATTAGCAAATTCAGGTGCTAACAGCATCAGAATTTACATTTAACTTTATATGAAAATTTATCTACACTAATAGAGGCAATTATTGAGGAACAGACAGACAGTAAGCTAGGTGCTAATGAATCTAACTGAATGTCTAAGTACGCATACCACTAGTAACCGTAATACAATATAAAAGAATTGTCTTCCTTTTAGAACTAGTTGTCCTCAATTTTCCATTATTTTTGACAGAGACAGAACCCAAACCTAGTCATATCATATCTTTCAAATTTTTCCAACATCAGTACATGTACTGGGATGCAGATCACTAATACTGATCATTTGGAATCTAAATTGTGTACTGTGTTCAAATAACTGTTTTTTAATTTTTGATTTGACAGTTGTACTGCTTTATCTATGGAAGTTCGTAATAATTCAATGTAAGTTGCAGGAACTCCGTTTTATACTTATATGATAGAATAAGACAATGTTAGAACCATTCCTTAGATATCTGCCTTGTCTGATATGACAATTAATAACCCCTACCTAACAGACCAATCAGGACTTAGTGTCAGCTATAATACAAGATTGATGGCCACCTTGATTGGTCACAGACAACAATGTCGATATATAATTCTAGAGGATCAAAAATTAATTATCCCCTGCAAGGTGCATACACCCAAAAATCTGATATTGAGTGATTAAGCCCTAATGTTACCTGAAAAAGCTTCAAAGCCCGATTATAATGGGCGTTAATGTCTAATGTATTTCAGGTTGTGTAACCAAATTTGAAAAATGTCCTTGGATGCAATGTATCAAGATGAATGGACTTTGCAATGAACAATTTCTACTCTGATGCTTCAATTATTATTTTAATTTTTTTATCCGCAAAAAAAGGAAGAGAGATTGAATACAAATTGACAAACGACCCAAACAAATTGCACATTAACACTGTGGAGTTCATTAAGAAATCAGCCATACCTCTAGACACAGTGCCAGAAATATGGAGCATATGGGTTTCGACAGATTGCCCAATTACATACAAGAAAGAAAAACCACCCAGAGAAATTAAACCATCAATGATCCATCAGACTTGACAACCCACAACATGGTCAATCTACAATACAGGGTTTTCTTCATCAATTTCACCTTTCATACCTGGAAATAATGGCTGACAAATCAAACAGTTCCAGTAACAGGAAACTGGATGGTGCCAGGTAAAACAAGGAGCCTGGCTACTGAATGCTTGTTTGACCAGTCACCTTATGCTGGGCCATTAATTAATGTGGTCACCCAACACT